ACTGGCATTTGCTTTCAGACTAAGTATAGGTACTTTAGGCAAATATAGGCACACACATAGGTCATGTAAGTGGATGGTTCAGGTGAGTTTCCATAGCCGGAATGAAGCGCCAATTACAAGTTAAACGAGTCTTAGGACAATCAGTGGGTACAACATGCACAAGCACAGGATCACAGCAGTGATCCTGGTCTCATATGCAGAAACTAGCCATGTTTTTTTCGTGCTTCCATATCCATGTTCGGCTGGCTCCGCGGTACGTCGGTCATTGACCTTCGTTTATGATATTTTGTGACTTCTTTATGGCTGTGGGGTGTTCAGGTGTTCACGATATGATCTGCTTTGCGTTCCATAGAGACGCGCATCTATGTAATTACAAAACAAGGCGCTGTCAAGTTTGAAAGCGGGATGGGCATGGGCAAGGAACGCTCCGCACCTACCCAGGGGGCTCACGGCTGAGAGGATGGTGGCGCCATCTTTGTAACATTTTGCGAACCTCTAGCTGCACTTCACATACCAGAGCGCCGATTGCTGTGTGTCGGTGAAGGGTGGGTAGGGGTGGCTGAGACCCTCCCCGCCGGAGCCGGGTGGGTCGGGGGCCGTCGTGTCGGTAGCCGTCCAGACTTTGCCCCGCGGGAGCCCGGTGGGTCGGGGGCCGTCGCGCCGGTGGCTGCTGAGACCCTCCGCGCCTGTCACCACCTCTGCAGGCTACTTCCACGTCGTGACCAGCACGGCAACATTCGGCGCCCGATCATGCGGCATACACGGCGCTCTCTCGGCCAAGACAAAGTCAACTTTAGCTCTACTGTCATCAGCCAGAGGCATGCAGGCGGCCAACGCCGAGCTGGGCTCACCGGCAACGTGACTGTATTGGCGAGCGCCTTTATCGGTCGAAACCAGAAGCTTCCCACCGAGGACGTGGCTCTTAGTCAAAGTCTCGGCATCAGTGGATACGAATATTGTGTTTTGCTTGTTGCTGTCCGATCAAACCCCGCTGAACACTAGCAACTACGACCAGACAGTCCAGTCCGAGCCACATGCTGTTCGGTCCGAACCAGACATTGTTCGGTCCGAGCCAAATATTGTCCGGTCCGAACCAGACACTGTTCCGTCTAAACCAGGAGCTGTCCGCAAGCGTGAAAAGAACTGCTGATTTACCAGATATGCTCGATGACAAGAACTCTGTGCTGACGTCACAAATCAGTGGTGACAGTGCTTTTCCAACACTCCTCAGATCAGTGCTTTTCACAGAATTTTCAGCCAGGATTCACTTCCCATACTAAACAGCATAAAATATGAAATAACTAGACTTATTGCTAGACGTAAGAATCGTGTCTGGCCACAGCATCTTGCGACGAACATGATCAGTTCGCTACGCAGCGTTTTAAAGCGTCGTGCCATTTCGGACAGATGGGCTCGAACGCTTGTCGCGTGGTAATGCGTTGGGTTCAGAGGAAAGCTATGGGCTGCTGATGGTCGTGTTCATGTCGTGAGTAGCTGACTGGCTAGAAAAACGTATCTAATTGTCAGTTTTTTATGCGGAGCGTTAAAAAGCCCAGTCTGTCTAAGAATATTATTGTTTATGGATATCGGAGCTGTAGCGTCAGAGGCCAACAGAGGACATTGAAGCGACACATGTCAAGGATTCATCCAGGGCTTTCCTGCTGCTGTGAGGAACAGCAGTTTTGAAGTAAAAGGCTGGGCATCGCTGGTGTAGGCCTCTCACATTGCCTGTGGCGCCACAGACTTAGCGTACTGATCGGCGGGCAGGCGTGAGATACAACGCTTTTTATCGTCATCATATTGCCTATAAAGCCAAATGAAGGCGCCAGAGGTGCTCAAAAATGTCAGTTGCATCTGTTGACACCAATATTGCATGGGTTTTGCTCTAAATAATTGAGATCACGCTAGGAACTGCGAGTTCTGCACCGGCAATGGTTATGAGAAGATAGTGAAGGTCGTCAACGTTTCCAGCTGATTTTATGATGGCGTAACAAAATTTAAATTGATGTTGGCAGATGTTTCTAGAACCATGCTATCGGTAAATGTAGCGCTACAGGGATACAGTTTTAAAAAATACGGAAGGGGCAAAGGATGGAGAGTTGAGGGGGGGGGGGTGCAGAGAGAAAAAATGGCTCAGCGCACCTCTGAAATGCACTTAAAACAGTCGTAAGCCCAGATTTGACGCGCTTTCTTTTCGTCGTTGGGATCAAGGGTGCAGTTTCTCAAAATTAGTTCTTGGGGCTTAAGTCTAAAAATCATGATTTTTGGAAAGTAATGGTTAAAAATTAATTTATAAAACAGCCAATGGCATACCCGGTTAGGAGGCACCATCCCTTCCTCTAACTAAATAGCAAACTACATGCCTCTAGGCTGGTCATGTCACGTGTGCCTTCATCTGATACTTGTATTAATTTCATCTGAACCAGCACCCAGTGTTTGATGGCCAGCAACTAATACTTAAGTGCAAATGAATTACCGAAACGAAAATGTTCTGTGGCTCTGCCGAATCGCATTAACTTTATCTGCGTTTTGTGATTTATCGCATGTAAAGTTATATTGCAACGGTTTCTGAAAGATCTACCTCCAGGTGACAGTTCAGAAGGCTCCAAATTTCGTCAGTGACAGAAAAGGCACTTTTTCACTCCTGGCTGTCCGATTCAAAGCAAACACTATCCGGTCCGAGCTAGACACTGTCCGGCCCGAACCAGACACTGTCCGGTCAGAACCCAGAGACTGCCCGATCTGAGCCAGAGACTCATGACCCGCGCCAAACACTGTCCGGCCCGAACCAGACACTGTCCCGTCAGAGCCCAGAAACTTTCCAGTCAGAACCGGCACTGTGAGGTAACAACGTCGGGTTCTGCCACTGCGTAACGTGATAGTGCTCAAACGTCCCTGGGCTTGATACTTCCAGTGTGACACATTCCTCTAAGGGCCTCGGGATCGACCAGGAGGCCTCGGCCCCGCATCGCGCGAATGGCAGCTCGAAGGCATCCCGCGATGGGACGGAATGGTCCTCCAGCCGCAAGGTGTCGCCATCTTTTGGTGAGATTATCAGCTGAGGAGAAGATGCTACGCCGTGTCAGAGCGAGGCGTCGTTCCTTGCGGCTGTCTACGAGCTGAAACGAAAAGAGCTCTTCTCCCGCTCGTTGGGAAGTGAGTGGCACTGTTTTCCGCACGTGCACTGATCGGAGAGCGGAGCGGTGCGTGCGGATTGTAGCGAGCGCTCGACGTCATCGCTGACGTCATCCGGATGCGGCCATGACCTGGCCACACCACGCGACTACTGGCGCCGCGAGCGCTACGGTTCGCGGTCGACTGACCGCACGGAAGGCAGTGCTGGCCGAGCCTCTGGGCGGTCGCCGGAGCGATTGGCTGCCACCTGGCGGGAGATCCACCAATCACCATCTTCAAGTCGCTCACCAGGTGGCGCCGATGTGGTCGTCTGCGCGAACGGCTGCCGCTGGCTTCCGCCAGGTGGCAGCCGACTTCATGCTGCCCACCGGACGGTGGCGCGCGCCGTGCTGATCCGCCGGGCGGGCGGGCACGTGACGGCGGGCGACACGTGACGACGGCCGGCCACACCCACTGGAGAACGCCGACGGGACCCTCAGTGCTGGTCCTCCCGTGACTTTGGCCACTTGAATAGGCGTCGCCCAAGCGCGCTGTCGGGCAGGCTGGCAAGCGAGTGGTCACGCTCTCCGCCACGCATGTAAATATTGACGACATTTTGGTGCGCGATGCTCTTTTGGACATTGACAGCCGAGCCGGTCGTGCTGAAAGCCGTGTAGTTTGGTGATATTGCTCCTAATGTTTAGCTGAAGCTGCCTGCCCGGTTGCTGTCAGCGTCAGGTTTTCATTTAAACGCGTTGGCTATCTGTTCCTTCAACGTATAGGCTGGGGGGGGGGGGGGGTGAAAGATAAACGCAGCTAAGCTCACTATGGTACATAACCTTTTGCACGATATAGTTTGGGATGGGATTCCCTTTCAAACAGCAATGCTGTGTTGAATTGTTCAGTGGACACCAGCGTTAAGTTAAAGTTGCGACTCAGGTGGGCCGTGTCTGTCCCCGGCAGTCAACTGAGTGTTTGGCCGTCAAGGTCGGCCAGTCTTCGTTACGTGAAAGCCAATACTTGTTCGTGGGACAACGCCCAAGTAACGTTTAAATGTGCGACTCGCTAATATCATCGTTCACGTCAACAGAGATTCCACTGTACATTCCGGCTACGTTCTGGACCTTACTGAAGTTCTTACCTCGTAATTTTGATTCAAAAGATTTATTCAAGGTGATGGGAATATCGCGTTTGAAATGGCACCAGCCGCGACGCGCGTGATGGCGCGATAAAGCAACGCATCGCGTTCGCATGCTGCGCTAATTGGTTCGAGAGGTGAGCTATTCCGTTAGTTGGAGCTAGAGTGACGTCACATTATCTACCGCTTCTTCGCAGCCAAAAAAATAGTTTTTGGCTAAGTCGTCAACCAAAAACGGGGAAATGACATATATATATATATATATATATATATATATATATATATATATATATATATATATACATATGTGTGTATGTGTTTGTGTGTGTGTGTGTGTTTGTGTGTGTGTGTGTGTGTGTGTTTGTGTGTGTGTGTGTGTGTGTGTGTGTTTGTGTGTGTGTGTGTGTGTGTGTGTGTGTGTGTGTGTGTGTGTGTGTGTGTGTGTGTGTGTGTGTGTGTGTGTGTGTGTGTGTGTGTGTGTGTGTGTGTGTGTGTGTGTGTGTGTGTGTGTGTGTGTTTGTGCGTGCATGGCCATCTCTCCGTTATAAAATACGAAACATTGCTTGAGTTACGCAGCAATGAAATGTAGTGGATAGAAGCGCATGTGTGTTTCGATCTAGGCCTGCCCAGTGCCATCTACATCACCATTAATGACATATGGGTGCAAATAGTATTCTCGACCGCATTCCATGTATTAATCAAGCAATACCTTTCAACGAGAATGGCAAACACTTGGTTAGATCCCTAATTCAGTCAAAGCGTGACCAAAGAACACTGCACTATTCGAACACCAGCAAGAATGGGCTGTAATGCTCTTTGCCCGCACGCCATCGCACAGCTTGGTCTTGGTTTAGAAACTTTCGGGACCAAATAATGTTCTGGAAATTGCGGGTGGTGCATAGGCATGCATGCATGCAGGGCATACGCCATCAGTCAGATGAAGGCAGAACATGTTTTCTGACATATCCCGCATCTTCTCGGGCTGCTGACTTCGAACGTGTTCCTGGTGTGACGTGTTCCTGATGTGACGTGTTCCTGACGTGTTCCTGACGTGTTCCTGATGTGCCTACGACAATGCATTTGATAGCACCAGTCAACGCGCAGAAAAGCACAATGTTCCAATATTTCCAGCGATACTTCGCTTTCGGAGAGCTGCGTCAGCATAGCCGGAAGACCATTACCGACAGGTACATACCACCCAGCACGTTCCACTGGCGCTGGTGCAGTCTGTTGGACATGCTGGTGTCCTTCCTTGGCGCGTGATCAACAAACTGAATCCTGCCGTCTTTCCGCGCATACAGCGGCGACATCTGCTGGACGTAACCAATGACAATGTCCAGATCAAGCTCGTGCCTGCGCGTCACCGATATCTCGTCTTTGGCCAGCATCGTGTAGCCGTCGTTTCCTGCCGCTATGAAGGTGGTCATGGCTACCCGGTAAGGCTTGTGGGGCACCACGGGCTCAAACCGTGGCGTCCCTCCGCTCGACTCCGCCGCCACGAACAGGCTCACAACGCGCTGGCCGAGAGGCTTGGCCATGTCGTACACGACGCGGATGCCAGAGATCTGCAGGAAGCGACCTGATTTCCCTAACTCCTTCGCGACACTGTTCTCTAAAGCTTTGCGCAAGGCCGAACCGTATATTTCAACGACATCGATCGTGTTCTGGTACGGGATCACCGTCAGAATGGAGGCCAGGGTGATGTTCCCTTTCCGGATGTTATACTTGATGGAGCCACTGTTGAACATGGCGACCACTGTCCTCGGAGTACCATAGGCGTGGTGTTTCTGTAGAGACCACACCATAGCGTCGGCGATCATGCTGCCAATGTTGCACTCGCCGCTGTAACACATGTCAAAATTGCCGATCAAGTCAACCAGAGTGGATCCAATTATCTCATTCAACTTGGGCACGAGCATTTCAGTGTAGTTATGAAAGGCCGCAGCGGTGGCGTTGTCTTCTTTGTCAGCCGGCTTAGCGTTGTAATCAATGTCTTTAGTTGGATCCGCTTGAAGCTGAGGCTCAATGAAAAGGTACACCTCTGGAAAAACATCGTCCACCTCGTCATCGTCATTGAATATGATGTCCAACACTCCCAGATATTTGCCATGTTTGAGCATCTGCGTCACGAGCACCTTGCGCCCGCTGGCCTGCACTACCACAGTTGGATAAATACCTTTGGCGCGGATTTTGTCAGTTCTGTCACGCGGTGTGCCTGGTTTGAATGGGTCTCTCTTGTTTGGCCATAGAAGTGTGTGAGAGTGCGCTCCAATGATGATGTCTAGGCTGGGTACCATATGCGCTATCTCCAGGTCGCGCTCGTAGCCCGAATGCCCCAGTGCCACGAAGATTTTCAGCCCATCAGTCCGTCGTTTTCGTATTTCTCTGGTCAGCGCTGTTACTTCATCCTCGAACGTCACGTAGCTGACCTGTGATATATAGGCCGTTACTGGCGTGGTGTAGCCGAGGATGCACACCTGCTTCGCTTTGTATTGGATTATCTTGTAGGTCGGGCAATAATGTCTCATCTCTTGCCGCAGCGATGCGTTTGCGATCTTGTCGAAACGAATGTTTGTGCAAACAAACAACGGCCCGATGGCGCGTAAAAATGGGATCAGTCCGTCGAGACCATCAACAAATTCAGAGTTGCCCAGAGCCAGCGCGTCATATGGCATGTATTGCAACATGTCAGCCACAAAACGCCACTTGAATACAGAGTAGAACGTGGTGCCTTGAAAGAAATCGCCAGGGTTAACTACCAGAAAATTAGCGTCCGGTTTAGTGGATTTCAGATTTTTCACGAACCAAACGGCTCTGGCAAATCCACCATAACATGGCCGTTTTTCTAAGTAAGTTTTCATGCAGGGGTTCAGGTAAGTTGTTACTGTACCAAAATGTGCATGCAGATCATTATGATGCACAATTATCAGGTGAAACAAAGATTGAGCTTCATGAACCCATTTCATCAAAGAGCACACGAGTATTATATTTGCCGGACTGTGCATTTTCCCATTTCAAAAGCGAATTTCCTGAGAGAGCGGAAAGCTCAGTTTACACCTCAGGAGCGGACACGGCTCCGATATGAGATTACCCATCCAAGACGTGTCTTTCTGTACATGTTGCCATTGCTGAGCTTCTCAGGCTGCTTCACCGCTGCTGTTTGACGGAGATGGCCAGGAAAAGTCGCTACCTGAAGCGTTGTTCACTCCCCACACCCATAGCCGGTTACTTGCTGGTTGAAGGCGGGCTTTTGCGCAGATTGGAGTCTCAGCATATGAGAAAATCAATGTCACGAAAGGCAGAATTATTTGTGTTCAATAGGAAAGTTGAATGGAACACGTTGAACGGCATTCAGAACATGCTTCTTTCACTAACAGCCCCGTTTTTTTTTTATTTCCCGGCAAGCTCGTTATGTTCCCAAGACGGCTGTTCTATCAGGTTATTTCCATTCTTGCTTGTGTCCCAGTGATTATTTTTTGGAGAACGTGATCTTCTTTAGACACCCCTTTGATGGATGATATCTAATCACGTATATAGTTTTATTCATCCATGCTATAGCTTTAAATGACATCAATGCGCAGTACCTTTCCAGATAGATCATCTTAATCGTCTTACATGCTATGAAAATCTTAACCTGTCTTCAGGGAATTCCCAGATGAGGAGCAAATCATAAAACTAATGGCATGCATGCGTCCATGATCCTTAAATGCGGCCAATATACGTGAGTCAGTAGATAACCAGTCACTACCCCCCTTTAGTTGTACTTGCAGCCACCATATGATCAGGGTTGTCGGCGCGATCTAAAATCTAAGTCACCATCATCATCACCTTGAACTCACACTTTGAGGTGCACTAATGCCTTCAAGCGGCATGCTCGTGTTTCACAGATTGTATGCAACGTACGAAATTGAATGCTAGCGTTGTTATTGTTACTTAGCTTAAAATATGTTGGCATGCATTCAATTCAAACTAGTAATCGAACGAACCTTCCTCAACGTTCATGCCACTGACGCATATGTATTTGACGAGAGCTCACATTTCACCCTGGCAGCGTTGCATGCCTCATGCGTTTGTCGGGGGTTCGTGCGCAAGACCGGAGATAGCAAAGCATCTGTTTCTGCCGCTCTGCCAGAATAGATAGCATTGGTTTGCAGAAGATTGAAGAAGCGCTATATCTGCGTCAAATATCCTGCCATGGAAACGATTTTGGTGAAGGCATGAGCTGCCTGCGCGCAATTTGACCAAGCAGTTTTGGTGCGCTGACAACAATAACATGGAATGCTGGGTTTACTGAAAAATATACGTTCAAAATCGAAATGTGTATAAAAATAACGTCTATAGAAATATGATATAAATACAAAGCTAAGAATAATGACATAATATTTAATCTGCCTTTATCTCCTTATGGAACCGCCCCTTACTCCTGTTATTTGGTAAGTGAAGATATGAATGGATTCGCGCCACTAACGCCTACCACGGCCTTCTTGGTATGGATCTCCACGGCACCCATGGAGATGGTACTCATTTTAACCCGAGACAAATGTTGCCAAAGCGTTCACGCTACCTGGTTGTGCATCGGAGCTGATGATGCACATCAAAGCAGCAAAAATAAATACTGGCAACATTATTGGAGGCATTCTTCGGTAAGAAGACCGCCACACAGGTAGAGACGCATATATGTTTATTGGGCACATCCATTCCATGGGTTATATGGTGTCCACGTCAATACATGATAGCAGGGCACAATGTCCACGATGTCTTCGCAATGCACGAGATTCAACATAGAATAGCTAAAGCGAACACAGGGAAAGCAATTTCAGTTGTCCCCACACCATAAAAAGCAAGGATGGCATGGGGAAAATGCAAAGTTGGTTCATATCACCTGAACTCTCGCTCACCGAACAACGCGGAGCGAGTCTGCTGACTCACTTGCGATGACAGGCTATTCCAAGCGGCTGTGGCCCGCAAGAAAAAGCCACGACGGGCAACCTCTGCCTGCACTCTGAGCAGCTGCAGCTGGCCGTCCTTCGAAGCACGCGTGCGGCGGGCGGACGCGTCAGAGCGACGGAGCAGCCGCTCGCGCAACAAGCCGGATGAGCCGGGTTCAGTGATGACCTGTCGCATGGCGATGACATGACGATCGGTGAGTATATCATTAAATTTACATCACCAAATTTACACCACAAATTTACACTCTTGCAGTGATGGAGTCAGCAGGTCGCGCCGGTAAAGGACAGTCATAAGAGGGATGGCAAAATTGACCGCCTTCTGAATGCGCTGTCTTTGTGTTGGCATACAAATTTCCCACGCAGCATACAGTAAGGTGTGCGAGGAAAGACGAGAGCTTCCACCAGCAGCCGCCTGGTACACATCGGCACCTTTTAGCGGATTCCGCTCAGTACCTTCGGGTGACAACGTTGCCACCAGGTACCACCAGGTACCACCAGGTCGCACCGTTCAACACACCGCAACACCGCAATACCGCAGTGGCACTGCTGCTGGTAGGCTCTGTGGTAGGCTCTGTTGCCGGCCAGGGCGGCACCTCCGGCGCCGGCGCCGGTCGCTTCGTCAAACTAGGGCTCACTCCTGTGTCCAATCCCCTCCACGTCGCCGGAGTCGTCATGCACGTTGTAGGTCACTATCTGTGTTTGACCGTCGGGCAGAAGCACCCGGTACCCGCCCTGCTCCCCCGAGCTGGAGGCGTCGGCGCGCGAGGCGGGCGGCGAGCCGTCACCCCGGCGCACGCGCAGTGCAGCGTGTGAGTACGCCAGCACCGCCATGACTATCAGCAGCACCTGCGGACATCGTGGCACTCGGGAAAGGGCACAGGAACAGCGCGCACAGGGGCTTTGCCCGATGGCTGTGAGGTTGGATCTATCGGATTAGTGCATTACCGTTACGAAGCTGTGAGTGGTGGCAGAGAGCCCCATTGAGCCTATGCAGATCAATAATGACTAGCTGACCAGAATATAAAAGCGAGCCATGGTATGCTTAGCAGACCTGTTTCAACATTTTGGAGGCCATCACTTGAATTCACATACTGTGTGCAAGACCCAGCAATCCTCCAAAGAGACCATGCACGTCAAAACGATGAATGCTGTCTTGCGTGCGGTAGAATCGCTCAAGGCTTGAGGAATACGCATGCACGGAAAAACATATATGGGAATG